CTTTCCAGAATTTAGTAAGCAGGATGTGTCCCTCCAGGCATCAAAAATGAAAGGGTTACGGGGAGAGAGTGCATATGTGCAGCTATACATACTTGCACAAAGACACATGGACATGGTCACTATTTGTGTATCCATGATTAGAAATAGTCACCTGTGTTTGATATAGCTTCTTATCACATCGAGACATCTCAAAGCATTTTACAGGATATATTTTAAATATAATAACTGTGTACTGTGTAGTCGAACGCTTTTTTTCTCTACACTCATGTGCCGAAAAACTGACTGTCCAACGCCTTGGGACATCTTCCCGATGTGAAAGGTGCTGCACTATTATAATTTTGTTGTTTTTGTTAAAACGCACGTAATTGTGCACACACATACTCCATACATGTCTATACGTATGCAGACTATGCCATTAATTATAATACTCCTGGCATTTGATATAGCTCCTTATCACGTCTTCGAGACATCTCAAAGCGCTTCACAGAATATACCGTAAACTGTATATTTTGTGGGTTTAACACGGCAGCCAATTGTGCACAGCAGTGCCCCACAAACAGTCGTGGGTTGAATGACCAAATTATTATTATTATTTTGTTTTGTCCATCGTTTCTCCCTGCCCGCGAATCAAACCCAGGTCCTTTCGCTTGCGAGGCAAGTGTTCTAACCATTGAGCTACAGGACTCCACTGTTGATAAGGAGTGAAGCACATCACTTGCAATGGGATGCCTGAGGGCTGCTCCACAAAAACTCATTAGAAATCTGGAGCCGCCTGGAATTAAACCCAGTCCACACACAGCTTTGTCTTGAAAAGGTTTCCGCTCATTGTTGGTGCTGAGTTGGTTGCATAATAACTACTTTAATTGTAATTAGTATCTTGGTTACAAATCGCTTTTCTTTCAGTCAGCAGAACACATGATCACCTCTATCAATGAGAGAGTGAGTGATGTGAGGAAGAGAACCACAGGTCTCGTGATAAGCAAAAGCCTACACTCACTATACGCCGCACACACTTATCCCAGTCACTCCACTTTACAGTATATTCTGTGAAGCGCTTTGAGATGTCTCAACAACGTGATAAGGCGCTGTATTAAATGCAAGGATTATTATTATTATTATGATTGTTTGTCACCAAACAGCTGATAGTGTTAGTAATAATAATCCTTGCATTTAATACAGCACTTTATCACATCTTCAAAACGTCTCAAAGCGCTTCACAGAATATACTGCAAAGTGAAATGACTTTGCCCAGAAACAGACATGAATTGAAGACCACATTTTAAACATTATTTGGTAAAAAAAATGTTTTGAAGGGATTATTTGGAGTCCTGTAGCTCAGTGGTTAGAGCACTCGCTTTGCAAACGAGACACCTGAGTTCAATTCCAGGCAGAGGGCGAAACCTTGGGCAAGTTTCCTTACTCCACACAGAGCCTAATAATAATCCCTCCAAAACCAAAACAATAATAAATTGGTCATTTTCAATCCACGACTGTTTGTGGGACGTTACTGTGCGCAATTGGCTGCCGCGTTCGCCCACAAATATACAGTCAATTCACTTTACAGTATTCTGTGAAGTGCTTTGGGACGTCCTCCCGACGTGAAAAGCGCTATATCAAATGCAAGGATTATTATTATTATTATTACCCCCAGAAAAGCAATCCACCAATCGACTAATAATTGAGTTCCTACTTACTGCTAAACAGTAAACAGAGGTGTGTGGAAGGAAAGTTGCCCACCGTTTTGCCCTGAGTGGGAATCAAACCCAGGTCTTCTGGTTTGAGAAGCGAGTGCTCTAACCACTGAGCTACAAGACTTCACAACGAGCTTGTAAAACCCAGGAACCTGTTGATTTTGCTGTGCAGTGAAATGGATTGCTGTACAGTGTAAAACGCCTGTGTAAACGGCACAGGCACAGCGCCAGGCACACAGCACGCTTCCCTCAGCATGTGAAACCCCGCCACCCTCACTGCTCAGTGCCCTCATAAACAGTCATTTACAGCCAACAACAAACGCCTCACCACATCTACATCTGGCAATTCTCACTGTCTGGCTGTTTCCCCGCAATCTGACAAAATACACAGTCAATTCACTTTACAGTATATTCTGTGAAGCGCTTTTAGGCGTCTTGAAGACATGACGAGGCGCTGTATCAATTGCAAAGATTATTATTATTATTATTACTGAAAGCTAACTTTTAATCTGAATTGAAGTCACATTTGATTCTCATCCCGCTTCCAGTGTCAGACATGGACCCAAGCGTCACATCAGTAAAGCCAGTCATATGTACATCTCAAATCCTCCTCTATCATATCTTTTTTAAACAGTCTGATTGAATCTTCTTTATAAAGCAGCCAAACACATGTGCTCACAATCCCTGCCTTGTGTTAATCTGCTGTAAACGCAGCACACACTTTATTTTCACATTTCCCTCTGATAGCTTTCTGCCAGTGCGACCCACTATGGCCACGTTACACACACACAAACACACACTCAAACATACACAGACACACACACACACTCAAACACACACACAGACACACACACACACTCAGAGACATACAGACTCGCACACGGCCAGCCTCCCTTCACTATGTCGTCCTGTGTTGGCTGAATGTTGCTCGGACTCTTACTGTCATTTTGTGTGTGTTTATAACGTGTGTGTGTGTGTATAGTGTGTTTGTATAATTTTGTGTGTATAGTGTGTGCGTAATGTGTATGTATAATGTGTATATGTATAATGTGTATGTATAGTGTGTGTGTGTAATGTGTGCGTGCCTGTGTATATCACTTGTATGTTTGTGTATGTGTGTGTAAGTCTGTGTCTGTGTGTACATATATACACTATAATTTGTATGTGAGTGTGTGTGTCTCAGGGCTTTGGGATGTCCTCCCGATGTGAAAGGGGCTCTATAAATGTAATTTTGTTGTTGTTGTGTTAGTGTGTGTGTGATCACACTGGGTGTTGGGAGGGGTGCTGTGTTAGACCAGGCTGACAGTATCCCCCCTCCCCACGCCCACCCCACACAAACACAACATCCAACAAACACAACTGCAGTAACCTCGCAAAACTACAGTAAGTTACTCACTAGGATGTTTGTTTCCTCGATTGTTCCCCCTGACAGCAATATCAGCGGCACATTTACATACAGTGCACGTTTGTAAAGTGCACATTTGCACTAATAGCAAGTCCTGAAAATGTGGTTTCCTGGGGCTGCAGAGTGAGGGCAGTGGGTTCCTAACACAGACACAGAGCACGGAGAGGAGGGCCAGATACCAGCCGACAGACATTTATTCATCAGATGAAAACAAGACTGTAAACTCAGAGATAATAACAATAATACATACATAATATATATAAGCCTGGCATTTGATATAGAGCCTTATCATGTCTTCAAGACGTCTCAAAGCGCTAAACACAATATATTGTAAAGGGAATTGATGGATTTTGTTGGTGAAATGCGGCAGCCAATTGTGCACAGCAGAGTCCCACAAACCATCGTGGACTGAGTGGCCAAATTATTATTTCCTTCTTTGAAAGGATTATTACCCCAGAAAAAGCGATCCACCAATCAACTAACAACGGGATTCCTACTTACTCCGAAGTAAACAGAGGAGTGTGGAGTCAAGAAACTCAGCCCCAACGCTCCACTCGGACGGGAATCAAACTCAGGTCCTTTCGCTTGCGAAGCGAGTGCTCTAACCACTGAGCTGCAGATGCCCCCCCCCCACACTGAGCTGCAGATGCCCCCCCCCACACTGAGCTGCAGATGCCCCCCCCCACACTGAGCTACAGATGCCCCCCCCCACACTGAGCTGCAGATGCCCCCCCCCACACTGAGCTACAGATGCCCCCCCCCACACTGAGCTGCAGATGCCCCCCCCACACTGAGCTGCAGATGCCCCCCCACACTGAGCTACAGATGCCCCCCCCACACTGAGCTGCAGATGCCCTCCCCCCACACTGAGCTGCAGATGCCCCCCCCACACTGAGCTGTAGATGCCCCCCCCACACTGAGCTGCAGATGCCCCCCCCCACACTGAGCTGCAGATGCCCCCCCCCACTGAGCTGCAGATGCCCCCCCCACTGAGCTACAGATGCCCCCCCCCACACTGAGCTGAGGCCCCCCCCCACTGAGCTGCAGATGCCCCCCCACTGAGCTGTGCCCCCCCCACACTGAGCTACAGATGCCCCCCCCCACACTGAGCTGATGCCCCCCCCACACTGAGCGATGCCCCCCCCACTGAGCTACAGATGCCCCCCCCCCACTGAGCTGAGATGCCCCCCCCCACTGAGCTACAGATGCCCCCCCCCACTGAGCTACAGATGCCCCCCCCCCCACTGAGCTGATGCCCCCCCACACTGAGCTGATGCCCCCCCACACTGAGCTGATGCCCCCCCACACTGAGCTGATGCCCCCCCACACTGAGCTGATGCCCCCCCACACTGAGCTGATGCCCCCCCCCCACACTGAGCTGATGCCCCCCCCCACACTGAGCTGATGCCCCCCACACTGAGCTGATGCCCCCCCCACACTGAGCTGATGCCCCCCCCACACTGAGCTGATGCCCCCCCACACTGAGCTGATGCCCCCCCCCACACTGAGCTGATGCCCCCCCCACACTGAGCTGATGCCCCCCCCCACACTGAGCTGATGCCCCCCCCCCACACTGAGCTGATGCCCCCCCACACTGAGCTGATGCCCCCCCCACACTGAGCTGATGCCCCCCCCACACTGAGCTGATGCCCCCCACACTGAGCTGATGCCCCCCCCCACACTGAGCTGATGCCCCCCCCCACACTGAGCTGATGCCCCCCCCCACACTGAGCTGATGCCCCCCCCACACTGAGCTGATGCCCCCCCCCCCCCCCCCCCACACTGAGCTGATGCCCCCCCCCCCCACACTGAGCTGATGCCCCCCCCCCCCCCCCGGGGGCACAGACACCGCACAGAGGGCCACAGACACGCGGAGGGGACAGTGCGGGAACGCCGTTACTCACCTTATTGCAGTAGTAATGCTCCAGACAGGAGGCGGCGCCGAGATCCCCCACCGCCGCGGGGGCACAGGGGGCACAGGAGGGGGTACAGGGGGCACAGGGGGCACAGGGGTAAAACCTCACGTCCATCTTTCAACTGGAGCTCAGCCCCCGACCGGGAACATGGATGGCGGAGCGGTTGTTGTTGTTGTTGTTGAATTATTCTCACTGTCCTTTTGTACGTCTCTCTCTCTCTCTCTATTGGTAACACTGAGTGACAATAACAGAGAAACGCAGAAGACAATTCACCGTTTGCCTCATATCCGCTGTGGCTCCGGTGTCTGTGACTGTGACTCCGGTGTCTGTGGCTCCGGTGACTGTGGAGCTGAACAGTCAGTGCTCACGATTTTGGTTCGTGAAAGGCCGTCCAGAAAGTCTCAGACAGAAAAAAAAGGCACCGATGAAAGTGATTCTCTTCTGTTGCGATCCTCTCCTTTGTCCTCTCTCTCTCTCTCTCTCTCACTCCCTCTGTCCTTCCTCTCTCTCTCTCTCTCTCTCACTCCCTCTGTCCTCTCTCTCACTCCCTCTGTCCTCTCTCTCTCTTTCACTCCCTCTGTCCTCTCTCTCTCTCTCCCTCTGTCCTCTCTCTCTCTCTCTCTCTCACACTCCCTCTGTCCTCTCTCTCTCTCACTCCCTCTGTCCTCTCTCTCTCTCACTCCCTCTGTCCTCTCTCTCTCTCTGTGTCCTCTCTCTCTCTCACTCCCTCTGTTCTCTCGCTCTCTCACTCCCTCTGTCCTCTCTCTCTCACTCCCTCTGTCCTCTCTCTCTCTCTCTCTCTCACACTCCCTCTGTCCTCTCTCTCTCTCTCTCTCTGTCCTCTCTCTCACACTCCCTCTGTCCTCTCTCTCTCACACTCCCTCTGTCCTCTCTCTCTCTCACACTCCCTCTGTCCTCTCTCTCTCTCACACACTCCCTCTGTCCTCTCTCTCTCTCTCTCTCTCACACACTCCCTCTGTCCTCTCTCTCTCTCTCACACACACACACACACACACGCCCTCTGTCCTCTCTCTCTCTCTCACACACTCCCTCTGTCCTCCCTCTCTCTCTCACACACTCCCTCTGTCCTCTCTCTCTCACACTCTCTCTGTCCTCCCTCTCTCTCTCTCACACTCCCTCTGTCCTCTCTCTCTCTCACACTCCCTCTGTCCTCTCTCTCTCACACACTCCCTCTGTCCTCTCTCTCTCACACACTCCCTCTGTCCTCTCTCTCACACTCCCTCTGTCCTCCCTCTGTCCCTCTCTCTCACACTCCCTCTGTCCTCTCCCTCTCCCTCCCTCAGCGTTGCCCCAGCATTAACCCATGCATTTAATGTCAGGCTCTCAGTTGGCTTTGCTGTGTGTGTGCACACTGTAATCCCAGGCTGTGTGTCTGCTGCTCATGGCAGGGATGTGGATGAGTGGGGGAGGGGAGGGATTTCAGACTCCACTTCAGATTAAGGGAATCTGATCAAACCGCAGTCCCTCACAATAATAATAATCCTTTCATTTGATATATCACCTTATCACGTCTTCGAGACGTCTCAAAGCGCTTCACAGAATATACTATCAAGTGAATTGACTGTGTGTTCTGTGGGTGAAACGAGTCAGTCAATTGCACACATCAGCGTCCCATAAAGAGTTGTGGATTGAGTGACCAAGTTATTATTTATTTTTTTGAACGGATTATTAACCCCACAAAAGTGATCCGCCAATCGACTAACAGCTGGGTTCCTACTTACTGCTGGTAAACAGATGCTTGTGGAATAAGGAAAATTACCCAACATTTTGTCCTGCTGGGGAATCAAACCCAGATCCTTTCACTTGTGAGGCGAACGTTCTAACCACTGAGCTACAGGACTCCAATACAGGACTATAGCAGACATGTTGCACACTTTGCAAATGAAGGGCTTCAAATCTCACTGATCCCAGGCCTTGGGTTGGGTGGATCAGTCAAGTTTGGATCATGTCCATGCGGCTCAGGTTGACTGGGGGGCTGAGGTGGACTGAGAGGGGCTGAGGGGGGCAGAATTTGCTCCATTGACACTCACCTCCAGTGACAGTTATCACAGCCCCAGAAACTCATCAACGTAGACACCATCAACCGGGATGCTGAAACAAGAGAGATTCTTGGGAAGTGAGATTCAGGACAGGGAGCAAAGGTGGGGAATCAGCAGCTCATTAACTGAACCTGGCGTATTACAGGGTGTCCATAAAGTCCTGTTACACCCTCACCCCCACCCCAACAGTGCACTGACCAACAACTGAAAGATGTGGAAGAATGATGCTAATTTTGTTTAGAAGTACATAATTGAATTCAGTACAAGTGTTTAACTGTATGTGTATGAGCGCTATCATTTTCACTGTTAAGTGCTTTGAAACACTTTCCCAAAATATAAGTGGGAAAGACTGAGGAGAAAGGCCAGGACACAAAGGGAGACTGAGGAGAGGGGGAGGCCACGCAGGGGGAGAGAGTAGAGAGGAGAGAGGCCAAGTCACACAGGGAGACAAGTGGATGGAGAAGATGTAGGGGGAGGGGAGATACTGGGGTAAGGAGGAGGTGGGAGCAGGTGGTTTAAACTTTCCTTCCATATCCCCCTCCTCCTCCCCCACTCACAGCAGCAGACAACAGCAGCACAGTGAACATGCAAATATAATGTATACAACCTGCAATAAAGATCAATGATTTATTAAAATACATGAGCTTCTTTGCTTATTGCAACCTTGTTCAGTTGATAAAGTTTTTGTAAAGCTACAGTAAGAGGGCTTCAGATCATCAGCAGGAAAAATCCAGGGTGAATCATTCAGATGGCTTTGTTGTGTGAGATTTATGTTATGGGAGGGACATGGTGGGTCTGTGGTGAGGGGGAGGGGAGGGTATAGGGGAGGAGGGGTGAGGGTATGGTGGGGAGGAACTCAATGAAGTTGCTGATGGAGTCTTTGTTGTTTTGAATTCTTTGGCTGTTCCATTACAATCTCACATTTGGGTTAGTTCTGATAACCCTGGTCCCAGTGTGCAGGAGGCTTACATTATTTTAAGGTATCTTTATTGTGGGCTATATACAGTGCCTTCTATTTATATATCTGAACATAGGAAGCCACTTGTTAGCTACAAATTGTGTACAGGCCATACCTTCAGCAAGCCCTGAATGCACCCTAAATCTAGGTCAGTTCACACTTACTGACACAGCAACAAATGACAAAAACCCTCATTGTCCGGGGCCTTGGGACGTCCTCCTGACGTGAAAAGCGCTGTGTAAGTGCATTTGTTGTTGTTATTTTCAGTGCTTTGTGAAGATGGTCAGTCACTTTGCTGTGGGCCGCTGCTACACACCTGGATTTCTGGTCTTGAACAAAAACGTCTCAAAGCGCTTCAGAGTATACTGTAAAGTGCAGTGACTGTATATTTTGTGAATGATACGAGGCAGCCAATTGCGTTGTGTCTTACCTCTTCATGACCTCTTCAAAGACCCGACCTTCTCCCTGGCCCAGTGCCTCTAGCTGATCTGCCCACATCTCACCAAACCTGATAAACTATTCATTGAAGTAGAGGAGTCCTGTGGACTTGTGGAGTCCTGTAGCTCAGTAGTTAGAGCAATCACCTCACAAGTGAGAAACCTGGGTTCAATTCCCGGCAGGGTGAAAACTTGGGCAAGTTTCCTTACTCCACACGCCTGATAATAATCCCTCAAGAAAATAAATTAAAAAATTAAAAAATAATAATTTAGTCACTCAAACCATGACTGTTTGTGGGACACTGCTGTGCGCAATTGGCTGCTGCGTTTCGCTCACAAAATATACAGTCATATTACAGTATATCCTGTGAAGCACTTTGAGACGTCTCAAAGACGTGATAAGGCACCATATCAAATGCAAGGAGCATTATTATAAGTACAATTTGGGGTTTCAAAGGACTTATTCAATTGTAACATGAAAGAATTTAGCAATTGTCTTCGGAACAATATCCTTGACTATCTTAACTCGTTTAAACTCATTTACACCTGAGCAGGAACAGTTAGAAGACAATGTTCTTTCAAACATCTTCCAGATGTCTCACTTTGTTCTCACACCTCTCAATTGTTATATATATCACGGCCTGACAGCTTTCGCTTTCAAAATTGTCACAGCTTGTCATGTGGATTTCTTCTAAATTGTGGTATTGCCGTGTTAACTTGTGGCACAGAATTCTTACACTAACCTCTCGCACTAATACTTGAGGAAAAGTAACATCAAAAGCAGGGAGTGAAGTGAGAGCAGATGTTAAAGAGGGAGCTCAGAGGAGTGTGGGCTCAAGTAGGCCGACTGGCCTTTCTACTGTGCTCTAAACGTGGAGTCCCGTAGCTCAGTGGTTAGAGCACTCGCCTTGCAAACAAGAGGACCCGGGTTCGATTCCCGTTAGGGCAAAACCTTAGGCAAGTTTCCTTACTCCAAACGCCTCTATTTACCTAACAGTAAGTAGGAACTCGGTAGTTAGTAGTAGCAGTAGTCCTTGCATTTGATATAGCGCTTTTCACGTCAGGAGGACGTCCCAAAGCGCTTCACAGAACACACTGTAAAGTGAATTTTTTGACTGTATATTTGTGGGCGAACACGGCAGCCAATTGCGCACAGCAATGCCCCACAAACAGTCGTAGATTGAAAATGACCAATTTATTATTGTTTTGTTTTGGAGGGATTATTATTAGGCTCTGTGTGGAGTAAGGAAACTTGCCCAAGGTTTCACCCTCTGCCTGGAATTGAACTCAGGTCTCTCACTTGCAAAGCGAGTGCTCTAACCACTGAGCTATAGGACTCCACTCTAGTTGACTATAGTTAGTCAATTGATGGATCGCTTTCCAGGGGTAATAATCCCTTCAGAAAATAATAATAATAAATTGGCCACTCAATCCACGATTGTTTGTGGGACGCCGCTGTACGAAATTGGTCGCCGCGTTTCTCCCACAAAATACACAGTTACTACACTTTACAGTATATTCTGTGAAGCGCTTTGAGATACTTCCGGTGCTATATCAAATGCAAGGATTATTATTATTAAACACTGAATGATTCTCTACCTCAACACCTGCCGAGACTTTCATTCTAGCAAACATGAGAAACCTCCTGGGCAACCAATATCTCATAACGTATCAAAAGGTCAATGCATTGGGTGAATCATCGCCAGCTCAGAGGCAGGGTTGAGAGTTATTAACCTGGCCTCGTGCTGGTCTTAAACTTCGTCAACTGATAAAACACAGTCCTGGCACAATGACTCATTCAAAACATATACGTCAGACTCACAACTTAATGAGAGCTGCGTCCTCAGGTTTGTCATACATTAGACAAAGATTCACAACCTCTGTGTTCGTGGGATGTTTTTATATTCTCAAAGAGTCCCAGTTGACCCCAAACTAACAAAGTTGACGCACTTCTGGAGTTCATGTGAAAAATATATGGATTCAGGACTGGCACTTGAAGAGTTAAGGAGGTTAGAAGAATCTTTGTCACACAGATATTAAAAC